TATGGCAGGCTTGGAAAAGGCGAACCTGCCGCAGCTCCGGCCAAAAACTCCGACCCGCCACCCCGGCCCGGAAAACCCAAACTCCGGCTACTGTTGATCTCAACGGCCGCGCTGCTAGTGGCGGTGGCCGTCTCCGCCGCGATTGGGGCCGTGGTCGTCCGCAGCAGAGGCGGCGGAGGTGGGCGGCTCCGGCCGTCGCGGGCCATGTCGCGGGCGTGCGGGAGGACGCGGTTCCCGGCACTGTGCGTGGACTCGCTGCTCCATTTTCCTGGGGCGGCGGAGGCCTCCGAGGAGGAGCTCGTCCATATCTCCGTCAATATGACGCTGCAGAAAGTGGGCCGAGCGCTGTACTCCGCCTCCGGGATCAACAATCTCGACATGGATCCTCATGCCAGGTCTTTTTTCTACTCTAGAATACCCTGCTGTTTTATTATTATTATTATTATTATTATTATTATTATTATTATTATTATTATTATTATTATTATTGAAATGGTGAGAAAGATCTAATAAACCCGTCGTTTTCATAATTTAGTTTCGTTGAAGGCTAAAGTGGATATTTAAGTATCGAAAAGGCTTGAAATTATTTATTTTATTTTATTTTATTTTTGACGAGCAAAATATGTATAAAAGCAATGAAATGGTCCCGCAAAAACAACATTTTCGTGAAACCAAACCAACATTGATTGTCTAAATATCTATTGAAGTTCGTGTATCTGGACTTGATTTTGTGTAAAAACTTGCACTAACGGTTTTGTTTAGAACACGATAAAATGTATAAACCTGCATTAACGGTTTTGATTTATACATTAATAAGTGAAAAACCTGCACTATCGGCCTTAGTTTTTTCACTAAGACGATATTCGGAAACGAGCTTTTTCTTATTTCTTATTTCATAAAATTTGATTCCCCTAGTAAGAATACAAAGGTCCTATTTATAATACACAACATTCAAATTTAAATATTCAAACTTACAACTAAAGAACTTAACTTATTTAAAATTTAAAAAGAAACTAACATAATTTATCTAAATTAATCCATCTAATACATGATAATCCAACTTCTCCCCCATCATCCACGCAATTTGATTTCCACTCGAAAGTTCGGTTCTCATCACCATTTTTCCACACAATAATAATTAAATTATTTGTCATCACATTTATTAAATAATTTATTAAAACAGTTAAACGAAAATTACAGCGCTTTTAGTGGCTGCGTAGGTCGGCCTACAAGGACTGCCTGGAGCTACTCGACGACTCGGTGGACCTCCTAACCCGCTCCCTCAGCTCAGTCTCGGCCGGGTTGACTCAGGACGTGCTGACCTGGCTTAGCGCGGCCTTGACCAACCAGGACACCTGCACGGAAGGCCTCGACGAGATCCAAAACGGCGTCGTCAAGGACCAAATGTCCGACCGGCTCAAGGATCTCTCCGAGATCGTGAGCAACTCCCTTTCCATATACGCCGCCGGAGACGACTTCTCCGGAGTACCGATCCAGAACCGCCGTTTGATGAGCGAGGAAAGGGGGCGGCAAGATTTTCCGATCTGGCTATCCCGGCGAGACCGGGCGCTTCTGGATTTGGCGCCGGCGGCGATCGGTGCAGACATAGTCGTGTCGAAGGACGGCGGCAACGGCACCGTGAAGACGATATCGGAGGCTATCAAGAAGGCACCGGAGCACAGTAGTCGAAGATTCATCATTCACGTGAGGGCAGGAAGGTAATTTTATTCACGAAAAGTGCTGT